GGAGGGACGCGTAGTTGAGTGGCTGGAGGGACGTGTGGTTGAACTGGCGCAGCAGCAGGCTCGGGGGAGGCCTCATCGCTCCCCTGTGGAGGCCGTCGCGCTCAGCGGGGCCCTGCTTTGTATCAGTCTCAGATCAGCTTCGTCATGAACACGCGGCCTCGCTTAGTTCATTCATTGCTCCGCAGGGTGCCGTGCCGAGCGTTCCCGTGGAGCGGCGCTCTCCGTACACGCGAGGGTGACGCGGCCAAGTCGGGAGTAGTGCCGACAATCACCGCAGCTGTCTGCGTCGTCCTCATTGCTGGATATCTGTCGCTGCTCTGCCTGTGTGCGTGGTGGTGCTGTGAGGTGAATCGACGTCCCAACCCGACATCAAACACCACGTTTCCGCCACAGCAATAATTGTCGATTGACTGCCCCCGCGGTCTGGCCCGGATCGGTTGATCGGGTGGCCACCGGTGCTCGTTTGGCCCAAGATTGTTCTCGAGTTGGGGGAGGCTGCCGCTGCTGCCGCTGTCATGGGAAACCCGGACTCCGTCTTTCCCGCGACATTAAACGTCCCTGCTTTAGTTGCGTTCAGAATAAGAACCGGAATGCTGTGCTCAACCCCCAGGGTCTGTCCGATCTCGATCTTGTGGGAAATTCCTCTTCCCATGACGTGTGCTCCGTTTTTGTTGTTATCACCTCGGAGGCAGCAAACCCAATAGCCTGGGTGACCCAGAATTTTTATTTATTTTGGCCTACCACATCCAGCATAGCTCCGCTCGGTATGAACCGTGGTGGCTGCTGGTGGCGTGCCACCTTCACCGCCGGTGGACTCCGAGTGAAAGGGAAAAGATTTGAGTAAGAAACTCTGCCCCTGGACGTGATTGTGTTCGGAGATGGCACTGCAAGACGAAGCTTAAAAGTTAATTTTCCGTTCTTGAGAAACATAACAAAAAACAAAGTTAATTCCTTAATTATGGCGCTTAAACCACGTGAACAAAGGTCTCGAAGCGCCGAACGGGCGGCTCGTTTGAATGGGAGACTATTCAAATCGGAATCTATTCAAACAGCTCGGGTCGCTTCACCGTTCTACCCCCCACCCCCCCCCCCCCCCCAAAGAAGCGGAATAGTTAAATCCGCAGCGGTCGCTGTTGATGCTGCGTGTGCCGCTCTTCGTTTATTGCTCTTTCTGACGCGCCCCCTACTGGAGATACTGTGAAAAAAGAGCTTCACAGCTCATCGGATTTCTCCAGATTATGTTTCCGAGCCAACGTCGACCACGGTGGGTCGGGCCTGCGGTGGGTCGGGCCTGCGGTTGGGCACGGGGTCGGGTCGCGCACGCGGAGCTTTGTGGCCTTCAACTCTAAACGAGGCGGGCTCATCCCGCGTGCGGGTTGTGTGCGCGCGGAGCTTTGTGGTCGCGCGGATTGTGTGCGCGCGTTCTATTCCACCGGCCACTCTCGATTTGTCCCATTGAGTACAAAGTTGAATGCGTTAAGGCGGCGGCGCCGATTCGAATGGACGCACGAGCCCCCACCCCCGAGCCCCCCCCACCCCCGAGTCCCCCCCACCCCCGAGCCCCCCCCCCACCCCCGAGCCCCCCCCCCACCCCCGAGCCCCCCCCCCACCCCCGAGCCCCCCCCCCACCCCCGAGCCCCCCCCCCACCCCGAGCCCCCCCCCCACCCCCGAGCCCCCCCCCCACCCCCGAGCCCCCCCCCCACCCCCGAGCCCCCCCCCCACCCCCGAGCCCCCCCCCCACCCCCGAGCCCCCCCCCCACCCCCGAGCCCCCCCCCCACCCCCGAGCCCCCCCCCACCCCCGAGCCCCCCCCCCACCCCCGAGCCCCCCCCCCACCCCCGAGCCCCCCCCCCACCCCCGAGCCCCCCCCCCACCCCCGAGCCCCCCCCCCACCCCCGAGCCCCCCCCCACCCCCGAGCCCCCCCCCCACCCCCGAGCCCCCCCCCCACCCCCGAGCCCCCCCCCCACCCCCGAGCCCCCCCCCCACCCCCGAGCCCCCCCCCCACCCCCGAGCCCCCCCCCCCACCCCCGAGCCCCCCCCCCACCCCCGAGCCCCCCCCCCCCCCCCGAGCCCCCCCCCCACCCCCCCCCCCCCCCCCCCCCGAGCCCCCCCCCCCACCCCCCCCCCCCCCCCACCCCCGACCCCCCCCCCCCACCCCCGAGCCCCCCCCCCCACCCCCCCCCCCCCCCACCCCCGAGCCCCCCCCCCCCCCCCCCCCCCCCACCCCCGAGCCCCCCCCCCACCCCCGAGCCCCCCCCCCCACCCCCGAGCCCCCCCCCCACCCCCGAGCCCCCCCCCCCACCCCCGAGCCCCACCCCCGAGCCCCCCCCCCCCACCCCCGAGCCCCCCCCCCACCCCCGAGCCCCCCCCCCACCCCCGAGCCCCCCCCCCACCCCCGAGCCCCCCCCCCACCCCCGAGCTCCCCCCCACCCCCGAGCCCCCCCCCACCCCCGAGCCCCCCCCCCACCCCCGAGCCCCCACCCGGTGGAGGGGAGCCCGCGGTTGGCGCCGCTGCTTCTCGCGAGCCTCGCAACAGGAGGCGTCGCCGACTCTCTAACGAGTCGTCTCTCTCACGAGTCGACTCTCTAACGAGTCGACTCTCACGAGACGTCTCTCTCACGAGTCGTCTCTCTTAAGAACCGACTCTGTAACGAAGCGACTTTTTTTAACGAGTCGACTCTCTAACGAACCGAACCACTGCCATTGCGATGTTCCGGCCACTGCCGACCCGGCCTGGGCTCCACACCTCGTCGGGTCGTCGTTCTGTTCTTGCTGCGTAAATGAAATAAAGTCGACGTCTCTTTAACTAAAATCTCCACTCACCCGGGATTGTATTTTTATTTTTACCAAGTCGGTAGTGACCTGGGCTGAGACGAAAACCTCGCTGACTACACTCATGAACGTTGTTTAATCTTTTATGGGCTATATGAGGGAGGGCCATTGCCCGAAACGTCGCCTATTATATACGTCCCCTCGAAAGCCCACGGTGGCGACTGTTGACGAACGCGTTGAGTTGTTGTTGGAGATGGCCCTTGTGAGCCTTGGCACTTGGTGCGTGCGCGTGTGCTCCCGGTGACGTCGTGAGCGTCGATTATAATGAACCAAAAAAACTACTACAC